GCGAGCGGAGCGCCGATAAGTCAAAGGTCAGATTAGGAAGATAACAGCGCATAAACAGTCTCTCTCGTCTCACCCTGCAGGATAGGCCACAAGTCCGGATCGAGGGTCGCAGGCCAGAGCGCTGTTTCCTGAAGAGGTGATGCCCAACACTTTCTCTAGAGTCACCTGTAGAGAAACAACACAGGGCGGGTTTGGTTTTCAGGAATTCATCATAATTAGAAAAGAAAAATAAAATAGTGGAGGCAGACAGAAGAATAGAGAAAGAAGTCAGTAAAGACACAAATAAATGTGCTGTTTGTGTACAACATTCTGCCATCTTATGTATTAAAAAGCAGCCTTTCCTGGCAGTTTCAAGATTCAGGCTGTCAAATCTGAAAAGTATTGATCACTGTTATTGTCTTTATTGCACACCTGCACAAACTCTGTGATAAACGAGCAGACTCTGAGCTGCTGATGTGCAGCACCAAGCGTGTCTTTGATTGATACGTGTCCAACAACTGGCTCGAGACAGAAAACTGTCGTCATTTTATCTTTTGGGTGTTTGAGGCGTGAAAAAAAAAAGAAAAAAGAAAAAGATCTCAAAGACAAAGTGAGGATGTGACAGCTGGCTTGGCTGCCTGTCTGTCTGTGTCTGCCTTGGGAATTAGAAACCAACTGCTGGCATCATTGATTAGTCTGAGTGAACATATGAATGTAGCCGAGCCTCAGTGTCCTGCTAACAAAAGTGCAATAATAACATCAGCAAACAATAAAAAGAATCATAACAAATGCTTTCTAAGAACTCTAAATAGACTCTAAGTTTGTTTTTGGGGTTTTTTAAACGAACAAGGGTAAAAAAACATTTATAAGCCATTAATAAGCCAACCTTTTGGGTTGCCAGGTTATCAAAATGTCAATTTTGCCACTGTTTAAACATCACATTTGGCAGTAAATCAGCTATTAAATCGTGAATGCTTGCTTAACATAGGTGTTCCCAGTCCAGACACTGCAATAACTTCATTTTAATAAACAACGCCAGCTGTTCTCATAATGATTTATCACTACTCTGCCAACAGGTCGCAATAACTGTTTTAATAATAATAAATGAACGCCTATCTCACAGTTTTCCACCCTGTAACGCTTGACTTGTTACGACCTGTGCATCAATAAATTGCACAAAAATACAGGATTCCGGAAAAACAGCTCATATATGGAGGCTGATGTTTAATTTCTTTTTTGGTGAATACAACAAACATGAATTTTATGGGAGTTGTTTCATGGTTCAGGCTTTACAGGGTTAAGCAGGTGAAACGTTTGTACCTTAGATTTCCAATAATTACAGTAAAGTATCTCAGATCAGATTTCTAGCTCCAGGTAAGCCTGCAGCACTAACAGGTCTGCAGCGGGACGCTTCTTCTGTTCTACTCACACATCAGAAGTTTTCGTACCTTGCTGGTGAGATTTTCTTTGCAGTTCTTTCCGGCGGACGGAGAACGCAGAAACTTCCTAATGCGACTTTTAATGGTGAATCCATCGCCCGGCATTTTTCTTAGCTTGGCAGCCCGGAGGCACGGCTCTGGGGGCTGCTGAACATCCACTGTGGCAATCCACGGACTGACGGAGTGTGGCGCGCACACGGGCTGGAGAAGAAGAAGCGAAGAGGAGCGCGTAATGATCCTGCTCCCAGGACTAAAACCTTCCGGCTGCAGAGCTTTACAAAGTATGACAGAGCTCCTGCAGCAGCCGGTGGGACATGTGGAGGCTAATCTCTCAAGTAAGTTCGCTGTTCTCTTCTTCTGTCGCTGCAGGTTCTCGTCTGAGCGCTGCGTTTGCAATGACAGGAGGAGACGGAGTCGCCGCTCAGCTGTTCGCTTGTTCCCGTGTGCCAGTGTGACATCACTGGTTTAATCCGAACCTGAACTGGTCCCATTCAGTGATTACATCAGCTTTTGTTGATTTAATGGGATTAGAGAGACCGGTGCAGGGGACGATTTGGGGAGCCACCAAAGAATTTATTAGGCTGCTGATTAGCAGACAGAGGTTCACTTATCTGGAAGTTCACTCGTAGTAAACGGGACTGTTTGCTTAAGTTAAAGCAATTTAGGTTTTGATTGTCTTTTTTTTGAACACTTTGACTCACGTTGTCTTGCACGAAGGCGATAATTAGTGCGTGTTAGGGAACTCCTCCATTTGAATGAGATTTCAATTCTGAAATGAATTTCAGAGCACACTGCACTTATTTTTGCCAACCTACTGGGTTTATTTATAGGTCTTCTCAGCAGACCTTTATAGTCAATTATTATTTTTGGTAACAAATAGCTAGTAATACTAACAGTGAGCTATATTCTGTTACAGCTTAAGTGAATCTGAAGACTTTTGGTATAAAATAGTGCTTCACAAACAAAAACAAACAAACTTTTGTGATTACTACCAAACTACCACCACAAATGTGCTGTTCCAACTGATGATTGGATGATCGGCCATTTAAGTGTTCTAATTCACCTTAGTTTAAAATTATATCTTGAAGGTTGATATCAACAAACTCACCTGCCAATAAAACCCAGCCAACTGCACCATACAGTATTGTAAAATACCATATTTATAATTAACTAGTTACCAGAAATGTGTACATTAGTTATTGCTTCATTTAAATACAAAGCTGGTGGAAAAGTCTCCCCCCCCAATTATATTGCCTGTATTATATTGTGCAGGAGTACCTGGGCCCTGTGCTGTGGTGTCCAGCACTGTGACAGTGGCAGTGAATTCTCTGGGTCCTGTGGTTTGTACCAGTGCAGATTTGTAGAGTTCTGGTTAAGTCTGAAGACTGACAACAACTGCTTAAGCACTGTTTCTGGTTTGTGGGAGGGTGCATTGTTCTTTTGGGTGAGTGCTGTTGCCATAGTGAGTGTGCAAAGTCTGCAGCAACGCTTAGGTGGGTGATACATATCAAAGTAGCTCCCAAGTGAAGGCCAAGACCCAACGCAACATTGGATCATCATGAAATCATCAATCTTCAGTCCACCTCAGTTTTAAAGTACATGCATCAATTGACCTAAATGTTATCTATGACAACAGATGTAACGTTTGCTTGAATATGCCGTCCTGATGATGTAACTGAAATGGTTTGTAGGTCAAAAGTAATTGGACAATTGGCTGATAAATCACTTTCATGTCCAGGTGAGGTCTGTATCTTATTATTTCATGGCAAATTAGGAAGGTAAAATATCTGGAGGTGGTTTAACTCTGAACACAAGGTTCAAAGAGATTTTAAGTCAAGTGAAGACTATTCTTACACTGAATCATCGATATAAACTTTAGGAGTGGCTACATGAACAGCCTGGTACGTTCTTAAAAAAGAGGAACGCACCGGCCAGCTCGGCTGCACCAAGAGGCCACAAAGACCACAGAAGATGACCGAAGTGCATGATGACAGAATTATTTCTATGGTTACAAAAACCAATTTCACGACATCTCACAAAGTCAAGAATACTCCCAGGTTGGTGCACAACAGTCAGAGTAAAATCAACTGAATAAGCCACGTGATGGGGTGGGGCAAGGTCTCACAATGGGTTCACCCGAAACAGTCTTAGGGACACTCTCAAATCTGGGACTATCCACCGATTGCTCTTAGAAATGAAAAAGCTTCTTGGATGAGAAGTGAAATGTCTTCAAGAAACTTATACAAGTCCAGTTGCTTTTCCTTCCAAGCTCCTTAGATTACCATAACCTGGATGGCTGAGATGTAAATTGGTCACACTCATGAAAAAGAATACCCGATTAGTTTGCCAGAAAACATGAAAGATCCTGGACAGAACCAGGAATAATTAATTAAAGCGCGGAGGAGAGGGACAGCTCATGAGCAAAAACAAACCACACTAACACAGTGGAGGTGATGTTATGGGCCTGTTTGGGTGCCTGTGGAGCGGTTCAGTCAGTGTTCATTGAGGATGTGACTGCTGATAGAAACAACAGGATGTACAGGGCAACAATTTCTCCTCGGATTTAGACAAATGCTGCAAAACTGATCAGATAGACTATCACAAGGCAAAGAAATGAGATATTCTTCAATGGCCAAGTCAGTCACCTGATCTCAACCTAACAGAGCAGGTTTGCAGTTCTTAAATACAAAAACTGAATGCAGAGACCCACAAATGAGCAATAAGTGAAGGTGGCTACGGTAAAGGGCTGACAGAGCATCTCCACAACAGTACCTGGTGATCTCCAGAGATTGTACCTCAGGTGGTTGTTGACTGTTTGAAAGTTTATTCATAAAGAGCTCAAAAAATACTTTTTAATCCTCTTAAATTTAAGATTAAAGTCTGCACTTCAATCACATCTGATTTGATTGAAATCCAAGGTGTTGGTGTACAGACAGGATTAGTTCATAATATGTAAAGACAAGATGAAATACAGCCCCCCCCCAAAAAAACCCACCAAAACAACAAAAGTTATTTGTGACAGATGTTTGAAAACAAGGAGCACAAATGGTTTTATTACCAAGAAGAGATGCCGTTACATCGCCATTCACATGAAATCAGCCACATTTTGGCTTGAAGACATCAAACAAAGTAAAAATGGTGGTATTTTAAGTGAAGGATGGGACAATAAATGCATTGAATTCACTCAGACTGAGACAAGATAACCAGTGTTTCGAAATCATCCAAAGACAAACTGTTATGCAATTAAAAAAACGACAATATTCACAGAATCTATTTACATTAGGTACACGTCCGTCTTGCATCGCTTCCAAAACATCAGGTTTATGTGTACTGACTTATTCAAAGATGACTTTATAATGCTGATTTAATGTGTTACGTTACAGGTTAATGCAAACAGGAGACGACACGGGTGATTTCTACCAAAAAGACATTTAAAGTGCAACTACTGATGAGCTTTACTGCATTAGTAACAGATTATTACACATTATCTAGCACCCATTGAAAAATGACACCTTTTAAGACGTGATAGAGTTAAAGCTGTGCATCACCCAGCTGGGAACAGACACTCAGCT